CATCCTCCGTCAGTGGCAGACGCGGGCACTAGCGCAGCCGGTGAAGCATTTGTCTCTGCATTTCGACGGCGTCAGGATCAGCCGGGACGCGGTGCTCGCCAACCACGCCACCGTGGCGGACTACGCCGTTGACGCGAGTGCCCACATCGCGAGAGAAACATGCTTCGTAGTCAAAATCACAGAGAAGACCCACCCGACGATCGCGAAGGCACTGACGAGCTGCGAGGCGTGGCGGCCAACGGATGCGCCTTCGGCGCCCAACGACTTATTGAAATCCGGCAGTGGTATTCTGCTGGCGCTGTGGCGATGCGGCGACGCCAGGGCGCCCGCGTCCGTTGAATCCTGCGCCAGCGCCGCGTCCGCGGAGAACAGTGTTGCCAGCGTGGAGAAAGGGAGGACGCGCGCGGAGCGTTGCCTGGCACACGGCGTGTCAACGATGCCGCAGCTGGATTTTGGATGCTCGCGAGCAGGGGCACTATCTTCTCCACGTGGACGGGCGCGGTTCGCCATCGCGTGCACTCGCCCACGCGGGGGCGGAGCTCGACAAGGCGACGGTTTATTTTCACGGCCTTGTCGGCGAGGCGAGTCTGGCAGAGATCCACGATGCCGCCCTCGCTGGGCGAGACTCGAGGCTAGCTGTCACGTTTCACATTGATTTGTCCCCGGCGGCGCAGGCGGCCGCCGAAGACAGCCGCGACGCCAGGCCCTTGGCAGCGCCCTTGAATATGATGGCGCGCGGCCCGGGGCAACGCGTTCTGTTTCACCAATCCTCGCCTCGCCGGGGCCCTCGGGGCAACAGACCCCGCTGCATTGCTCTTCGCTTCGCCGATCCGCACAGCCAGCATGTTGGCTTACATCAAGTGGAGGAAATACGAAGTCAATCAATATTCGCATACAGTCATCGCCATGCTAGATCTGGCCTCGTACGCCTTCAGAAAAATGGTCAAGCCGATTAACATTGATGTTCTGCGCAGATCTGCCTTCACAGGTGTATTTGCGTGCCTTCTGGGGCGTCGCTCGCCGCGTCGGCTCGAGGCATGCGTGGTACGCGGGTCGGCTTCGCCGCCCTGTGTTCTCTTCGCTTCATAGTTACCTGTTCCCCCTGTGGGTCGGCCTTGCCGCCCGGGCGCCTCATCGCCCCGCCGCGCGCTACCTGGCATGCGCGAGGCGCTCGCGGTTGTCGAAGACGCCGACCCGCGCGGAAGGCGAATGCAATGCGTTTCTGGAGTCAAAGGTCTATCGAGCATGTATCCATCCAGCGCCTGAGCAGCACTGGCGAGCTTGGAGATGACCAGAGGCCCGCGACTCCAGACCCCTATCTGCCTGACGTCAGCAAGCGGCAGTGGGAGGCCAAGGTTGTTGCGTGGCGCAGGGAGCTTTCGCGACTCCTTGACGAAGTGCCGGTTGGTGCGACGGAATTGGCGGCGGCCGAAGAGCTCGGCGTCTGGGTAGAGCCTTCGCCGCCCGCCGTGCGCGGCTTCGAGCTCTCCTGCAAGACGGAAACTGCATACTGCTCGCATGCAGCATTCTGACGAGAGACTTCTGCGGCTGCATCGAGTATTGCTCGCGATTTCCCGTTCCTCGGGGCGCAGAGCGCCGCTGCGCCGACGTCGCCGACCACTTCGGCTTCTCTCTCGCCATCGAGCGCCTGCAAGCTTCGCGGCAGCGTGCTTGCTCACTCGTGTCCGGGAAGTATTTCTGTCAAATGCGGGGCCAGTGCTGCGCTGCGGCTGTCCTTCCAGGGGCAGATTCGGCGGTCGTGTGGAGAGGTTTCAGTCGGCGCGCCCTGCCGACTGCGCAGCGGGTGCGCCGCGTCGAGGAAGTCGAGGGCGCGCTGTTGCACATCGCTGACAGCGGCGAGGGCGCACTCGGCGTTGATATGACAACTGGAGGGAGATCCTGAAGACAGCAGCCGGCAGTTTCCCCCCGAGATGCGCTCGCGCCGCCTCGGGGGGGGGGGGAAATGTAGCGCACTAGCCTGAGAGAGAGAGGGAGAGAAAGAGAGAGAGAGAGAGAGAGAGAGAGAGAGAGAGAGAGAGAGAGAGAGAGAGAGAGAGAGAGAGTTGACATGGAGTGAAGCGAATAGGTACACAGGAGAAACCTGGGAAGCAATCAGTACCCCCCCCCTCATCAGAGGAAATTATAACGCTTCCGGCACCGGGGCCGGGGCGGAAGCGATATCCCCCGCAGGTCACCAGAGGTCCGCGGAGGGGAAGTCCCCGGAAGTTCCCAGGAGGCATCCAGAAAAGGCCTCCACAAGCCTCTGAATGCTTGGTCCCCTTGTAGTCCAGAGCCCAGCGACAAGGCACACCTGCCCAGAGTCGCTTCTTGTGATTCTGTGCGTTTCTGTGAGATTCCTCAGAGATTCCTCTGCTACTCCGATTGGCTTCTTTTGAGATTCCTTGCCGTTTCTATTGTGATTATTTTGGGACTCCTTTGAGACTCCTCTGGTGTTCCTGAGATGTTATTCTGGGGGTCCCTTGAGGCTCCGGTCATATCCGTTTGATACCCCATTGCTTAAGAGAGCACCCCATCGACATCCGGGGCCGGTGGCTTATTTTTTTGTTAATACATGTGCTAACATATCGCGGGGGGGTTCGCGGAATGCGTCTGCGAAATCTCTCCGTGGACCATAGGATCCCCTGAAAGAATCAATTTCCCTAGTGCGGTCGCAATAGGGATTGCTTATGTCCACGCGAGCCCGCGTTTTCCAAATTCCTTAGATTCCGTTGTGGTTCGTTTGAGCTGCCGCTGAGATGCCTTTGCGATTTCTGTTGGGCTCCTTTGAGATTGCTTTGAACTTCCATTGGTTCCTTCGATATCATGCGTGGGATTTCTTGTGATATTATTATGGGATTCCTTTGGGGGTTCTTTCGAGTTCCTCTGACATTCCTTCGACCATCCCTGAAAGGGGGCATCCCATCGACCTCCGGAGCCTGTGGGTTATTTTATTTCCAATAAATGCGCTAACATATCGCGGGGGGGTTCGCGGAATCCGTCTGCGATGTCCCTCCGTGGACTCTCCCATAGGACCCCGTGAAAGAAAAACAATTTCTTCATTGCGGCCGCAATAGAGTTTGCTTATGTCCACGCGAGCCCGCGTTTTCCAGATTCCTTAGATTCCTTCGTGGTTCGTTTGAGCTGCCGCTGAGATCCCTTTGCGATTTTTGTGGGGTTCCTTTTTGAGACGATTTTGAATTTCCAATAGGGATCCTTTGAGATTATGCGTGGGCTTCCTTCTGAGATTTCTCTGGGATTCCTTTGGGTGGTCCTTTCAAGTAGAGTTGCTTGCGGTGATTTCATTGTTTGTCTTTTTGGATTTACCTTTGATTTCCGACGCGCGTCAGTTTCCCAGTGTTCTAGCAAGGCGGGAACCCATTGGCACGCGTTCGTGCGCGTTGGTTCTTCAGGCTGTCGCCTCGCGCTGCCGCCAGCTTCGGGCCCGGGGGGGCAAATTAATTAATTAATTATTGTATTTTCTTTTTTTTTCTGCTAACGATATCGCCGGAGGGCGTCGCCCAAAATAATTATTTATTTTATTTTCTGTGCTAGCGATATCGCCGGGGGGTTTACTGTTTGCTTGCCAGGGTAATATCAGGAGAAAGTATACGACATCACATATACTCTCTGGTAAGTTTCTGAACATCGCGGCCACCTTGCACGAGCCGCTGCGATTTGTCGACGGCCGTTCGCTTCATCGGCTCAAGATTGTAGCAAACGTGGCTCGGCATTGCCGGCCTGTTTTGACTTTCCCGTTCTTTCCATGATTGTGGATCAGCATTGCTGTCCTGTGATCTCTCTCTCTCTCTCTCTCTCTCTCTCTCTCTCTCTCTCTCTCTCTCTCGGATTTTTGTGTCATGGCCGCTGACGACCAGCGCGTTGCTGCCACCCATGCGTGTCTCAGCTTGGCTTTGAATGCATTGGGGGCGCACGTGCTGGCCAGCGTGCAAGGCTTATTCCGTGCGCCCGAGCACGGGAATCAATGGCTGTCACACCTCGGCTTCGCCCTGATCCGGCAGCCGCGGGGCCCGACTGGTCCGGGGCGTCGCGTCAAGTGGGAGCAGCCGCGGCGCGAAGCTGGACTGGCCGCTAGCGTCGGCCACTTCGCGGCCGTTATTCTGCGGCCCGGCGGCACAATTGTGATAGACCGCCGAGCAGGACTGCCAGCGGTTCGCGAGTGGCGAGCGCGGGGCGACATTCCGGACGTCGAGGAGCACAGGTGGTTCTTGTTGGTGGAGCTCGGCGCGCAGAGGCCAGGGCCCGAGGGCGGTCGCCCTCTTCCATGGGGCACGACTTCGGATATTATCGGCGCTAACCGGCTGGACGCACTCATCCGTCGGCGTGCGGCTCGTGAACGAGCGGGCCCCTACGGGTCGGCGTCGTCGTCGGGCTCGCTCGCGCCGCAGGAGGCTGCGCGGGCATCAGCGAACCGAGAGGAGGCAATGCGGCGTAGATCTTTGCGCTTGTTCTGCCCGTTGCCGCCGGTGGGGTGGCCCGGCGCTCAGGTGCCCCAGGTCCCGCGCGATTTCTCTCTCGAGCTGCCGCGTCTTCCGAAGATCCGCCTACTCGAGCGACTCAACGCTCACCCTCGGGACGCTCAGTTGCACTTCGTCGAGGAGTCGCACTCCTACTACATTCGCGGCGTGCGAACCCATGGGTCAGTGACGGGGCTGATACACAAGTACTCTAGTGGTTTCGACGCTGTCGCAGTGATTGGAAAGATGCGGAGCGGGCGGAACTGGCCGCGACCTGATTATTTGCGCCACCCCCGCCCAGAATACGCGGTCGCAAAGCTGCGGACCACGCCGGAGGCTGCTCGCTTGCAAGACTTACTTCTTTCGCACGGGGCCTGCGACGCCGAGATCTGCGCCGAGGTGAAGGCAATTGCGAGAGCGGCCCCCCACTTGGCAAACCTGATGGAGAGTCTATCTCTCTCCGATCAGGAGATCGTGGAGAAATGGTGCTTGAACAATGAAGAGGCGGCTACGCGGGGCACCTGGATGCACTGGACATTCGAAGCCCACCTCAACCGCGTTCTGGTGCCCCACGATGCCGTGGAGTTCCAGTTGTTCTCGAAATTCTTGGGCGCGCTGAGAGGTTTGGCGGCTTCCCGCACCGAGTGGGCCATCTTCGCGGAGCACGAGGGGCTTGCTGGGTCAATCGACTTCGTGGCTCGAGATTCCGCGCAGTCTGCACACATACGATTGGAAGCGGGCGAAGAATTCACGCTCGAAGTTCACGAACCCATGGGAGAACATGAAGTTCCCATTAGGCCGATTGCCAGACTGCCAGGGAAGTCATTACCGGGTGCAGCTTAACATCTACAGGTGGATTGCGGAACGTTACTACGGCGCCCGCGTGGCCGCGATGCATGTGGTTTGCCTGCACCCGGACAACGGCGACCAGCCATTCGTGGACGACGTGCCGGAAATCCCAGACATCGAGGAGCTCATGGCCGTTCAGCGCCCGAGGTCCCGGGAGTTGCGGGCAACGGCGTCGGAAGACGCCACCGAGATAGACCCTCTGGGCGGCTGGCCGCGGCCAGTCGTGGAAACGCGCTTGCCGTATCGCCTGAGCACCGCGGCCAACTTCGGTCGTGCCTTTCGCCAGATCTCAGTCGAGGTTGCGCACTGGCATTGCCGTCGCGATTGCGCTCCGCGGAGGTAGTGGCGCCTTCGCATGAGGGAACGCACGGGCGCGACGCTTGCGTTGCCAAAAAGAAGTTCTTATTCATATCTACAATCAAAACTGGAAAGCATCTCGAGACATCATGCATGTCACGCCGCCTGTGCACAGACCAAATGCGGGCGCAAGTCGCGCTGCCCAACGGGCGACGCGCGCAGAGCTCGCTCGACAATAGCATAGAGTATGAGTATATAATCGTTGAACGCACAGTATCCTGCGTCTCGGATAATGCGTTTGCAGACGACTTACCCAGACAGCAGGTTTGCCAGGGTACGCAAGTACAACCCGCTGAGGTTGCCCAAAGTATCACTAGCAGTAGTGTCTGCAGCAGTGCCAGAAGTAGTAGTCCTCGTCGCAGCAGTATTCAGCGCAGAGCAAAGCTTAGCTGATCTTCTTTCAAGAATTCTCGCTTTGGCGTGGCTGAGCTTGGCCGGCCTGTCACTTAACTTATCGCGTCCTCTGAGTTGTCCTGCACCTAGGCGCCATGGCCACCGACGGCCAGTGCGCTGCCGGTTCCGCGTCCCTGAGCCCGCGCTACTCTGAGTTCGGCGACCCGACCCCGCGCGGGAGGGCTCGCCAGCGGCGAGTTTCGTCTGGTGCCCGCTCGCTGACGCCGGCGCGCAGGAAGCGTCGACTGTCCTCGCGGGCTGCGCGCGCGGCTGCAGCGCGAAGCCCTCAATCGTCTCCGGAGAGAGACGACGCCCGTGACATCAATGCTTTCACGCTGGTGGCATCGCTGATCTCAGACGAAGCAGTCGACAGTATTCTGTCATGCTTCCTTGCCGTGTTGAGACGGACACTCGCGCGTCGTTTCGCGCGGGATCAGCAGATTCGCCTTAACAAAACGCTTATACTCGTGAAGCCTTTCAGTTCGAGCAAGCGCAGTGCCTCGCGTGGCCCGCGCGGTGCCAGACTGCCTGGAGCCCTTGTTGTTGTGCCTCGCTGGCTTCAGTCTGCCAACGAGGAACTTGCCGCGGTGACAGCCCCCAGTCCCGTTCGCGATCGCTGCTTCATTTGCGGGGCGGATGACGGCGACGTCGACGGCATCGGCCAATACCTGGAAGGGTGCGTGGCCACGGTGAAATCATTCCCGTTCCCCGAGGTGGCCCATTTGCGCGCGACGACCTCCGCGCGGGCCATGTTGGCGTCGCGATTGGAGCCTCACGGCAACGTCTTCGAACGCGCGCGGTGCAGCGGAGTTTGCGTCGCCTGGGAAGACACCCTGAACATAGAGCTCACTGCCGAAATGCTCAGAGTGCACAGGCGACACGCGGCTTGAGAGCTAGGAGGGGCGCGGGCCGACTCGTGCCCGCGACTGTGGCTCAGGGTGGCGCGGCGGCGCTGACGCCACTGCGCGAGCCTCCGTCGAGCGAGGGCCGCGACTTTCGATCGACGCATGCGCCGGAAAAGCGCGATGTCTCCATCATCTCCAGATGTTCTCGTCGCCTTTCCATGTGTCCAACGTGGCGTTGAAACTTCATGTCGCTCGATGCCCCCCGTAGTCGGGCTTTTACATATTCGACGTCAGCGCAACTAATGGGTCGCTGCTCACCTCTCCATCTTTCTCTAGCTCCACACATGTGTTCATCGTGGGTCGGCTTTGCCGCCATGTGTTTTCTCTGCCATTTCACTTCTGGCGCGGCTTTGCCGCCGTGTGTTTTCACTCCCCACCACCCTCCCGCGCCATCTCACATGCACGGCGCACCCGCTTGCTATGGGCACGAAGGCGCCAAGGTCGCGCGCGCGCCGACTTGGAGACGGAGCAGAGGCAAGAGCAAAGCGGACGATGTTAGCGAGGGTGGGGTGTGCCTCGCGGCCGAGCAGCGCGAGCCGCGCGAGCCCGCGGACGCGGGCTTGGTGGGTGCCCCTGAATCCCCGAGCGGCGACGAGGGCGAAACGGCAGCGCGGACAGAGTTGATTGCCTGGAGAACCAAGTTAAGGGTTTCGCCGCGGGGGTTTCGCTCTTGCGCCCCAAGCGGGACAGCGAGGGCAAGTGTAAATTTGCTTGCGGCCTATGCCCGTTCCGATCGTTCTCGACGCAGCTGCTCTTACGCGCTCACGTCTCCAAGTACCGCGTCAGGGAGACGTGCTTCGTGGCGTCTGGCACGAAGCAGTTTAACGTCGTGCGCGCGCTGTTCGACAACGACCGGCTCCTGCGAGCTCCGTTGGGCAACCTGCTGAAGCGATCTGCGACGACCATGCGCGAGACAGTATCTCCCGCCGTTCATCGTGGACAGAAATCGGTTGACAAAGACGCTGTCCTTGTCCTCGACGGCGACGGGCCGTCGCATCATAACAAAGCTGCAGTCGGGCGGAGTCTCGCGTGCAGGCGAGTGGGGTACACTTACTATACTCGTGGTTTCGCGGACGTCTTGATGCAGGAATCCTTGCGCCACCATGGGCGCGTTCGCCCGACGATGCTGCGGACGTGCGCTCGCGTCGTGGAGCAGGGCTCTGAGTTGAGCGGCATGCTGCCGACAGATGTCGCTCACTGGCTAAAGCTCATGGAAGACGCGTTTAACAGCGCGCGCGTAGAGCAGCGCAGCGCTGCGTTGATGGAGGAACGCCGGAAGCATCAGGAATTCCCCCACGTCTTCATGGACGCCACCATCCGCATTCTGCGCAGGGTCAAGGGCCAGGCAGACTATCGGTCCTCCCAAGCAGTGCGCGACGCAGCGCCCGTGCCAGACATTGACGCCAAGCGCCGCGCGCTGACCCTTGCGGGCGGGACGGGCGCGGCGCTCGGCGTTTTCCTGACGAGGGACGAGGCATCTGACGAAATAGCTGGAGCGATTACTGGTCGTTGGTCGGAGGCGCGCAGATCGCAGACTGTGTCCGTCGCCAGTGACCAGCCGAGCAGCGCCTTATACCGCGCGTTGCGAAACTCGTGCTTCTCCAACCTAATTTACCTGAGCCTCGACCCGGTTCATTTGCCCATCACGCACGAGGAGACGCACTGGAGGAAAAAGACTGGGATCCAAGCTATTGCGGATAATCATGGCCAAGTTCACGAAGGTAGACAGCACGCTGCCGGCGCAATCCTGGGGGGCGCCATTCGGCGGAACGAACGCCCCGGCTCTGCGAGGCATAGAGGAGCGCGCGCGAGGACAGATACTCGACCAGTCATTCTCGAAGTCGCGAGCTCAATATGCGATTGACAATGTGAACGCCGAGCTGCCATGGAGAACGACGCATGAGTTCATTGAATCTATCGCCGCGCTGAGCGCGTTGGTGCCTGAAGAGCTTGCTCGTCGCACTCACGTGAACAACGTTCAACTCAAGAGGTTGCTTTACGATGCTACCGCCTCAGCTCGCATGCAATGGTTTTGTAACAACCTCCGATTCATGCATTCCTTGCCCGCGGCGCGCTTAGCTTTGCTTGGGTCTGGCACGTCGGTCAACGAATCATTCAACCACGAGGTCAACACGTGGTTTCGCAATCAGGGGGACATCTACGCGTCGACGGCGGAGCTTCAACTTAGAATTGGATTCCTCGGCAAGCTGCGGGCCCACTGTTGCTCGCTGCATTCGCCGACGCTGCGGCAGCTGCGACAGGCCAATGTGCTATCGCGAAGCATTATGGCTTGGGCCTTTCCTCGGAATGGGTGGAAAAGTTACTGCGCACTCGAGGCGCAGTGCGGCACCGAAGTCCCGGCGCCTGCGCGGCTTCCGCTGCGCGAAGCCCGGCAGGGAGTCGCGCGGCGAATCGCCGAGCGCGCCGCTTGCGTTCAGATAAAGCCTGCGGCTGCTGGGCAGCGCGGTGCTCAGGAGAAGCCCGCTGCTAGGGCGCTCTTGGACAGTTTGCGCGATCGTAGAGCGCATAGGATTCAGAAGACAGCTTTCACTCTGAAGCGCAAGCCTGCGTCGCGCGGCGCCTCTGGCCAGGCTCCCGCCGCGTGCGTTTGCCAGCGGTGACTGATGCTGATTCGCCTTTCTTCGTCGGCGTCAATTGTTCCGTGGCCTTCTCCTCACGATGCCACCCTATCTGGACATGTCTATGGGCCGCGCCCGGTTGCGTTTTGCATCGCGGAGAAGCAGCGGAAAGAGGAGGAGGAGGATGGGGGGAGGAAGAGGAGGAGGAGGAGGAGGAGGAGGAGGAGGAGGAGGAGGAGAAGGAGAAGGGGGAGGAGAAGAAGGGGTAGAACTAGAACCAGGGGGTTGAGAGATACATTTCATAAGCTCCCATGAGCTGATCAGAAGCAGATAAATAGGAGCGCATCTTATACCACAACCCTCCCCTCACACACACACATATGTGTGTATATATACACATACATACATGCACGGATGCATACATACATACATACGTACATACATATATGTTATGTGTATATATATACATATATATATATGTATATGTACATGTGTATGTATATGTATAGGTATATGTGCACGTGTGCATGCCAACGTACATGCGCCAAGCAGTGGTTGCACTCATGAGGTCTCTCCCTCCGTCCTTGAGGTCATTGGTAGGTCTTCTGGGTGCCCGCCACGCTGCGGCCCGTGCCGCCTCGTGGGCGCTTCGTGGGCGCCCCACGCTTGGGGGGGGGGGGGCCGAGGTTGTGCCGCGTTGCCACCCGTGCCTGAAGTCGGGCCTGTCCCTCTACACGGGAGTATGCACAAATAGTGAAAACAAAATAGTTTATGGAATATTTTGTTATATTTTTGGGGCATCATTTGAATTTTTTTAGGTTTTTAATATAAAAGAATTAAAATTAAAAAAACGTCCAAGATCCCCGTAGGGGGACAGGCCCGACCTAACCCGTGCCGCCTCGTGGGCGCCCGGTGCGCCGGGGGGCGGGTGCGCCGAGTTTCCGGAGGGTTCCAGAGGGGGTTTGGGGGGAGGGGGCTTTCCAGAGAGCCCCCCCAAGGGGGGCTTCGGAGCCTCGTCGAAGCGTGGGGCGCGAAGCCCCTGGGGGGCCCCTCCTGGAAAACCCCCTCCCCAGAAACCCCCTGTGGAACCCTCCGGGCCGAGTTTGCGCCACGCGGGCGCCCCATTCGTGGGGGGCGGGGGTATGCCGAGGTTGCGCCGCGCTGCCGCTCGCGCCGCCGCGTGTGGCGAATCGTGGGTGCCCCGTGTTTTCTGAGTTTGCGCGACATAGCTGCACCGAATTGCTGGCCATAGAGTTAAGTCGGGCCTATCCCTCTACAGGAGGAATATTCAAAATAGCCAACAAATAACATGGGGACGATGTTTTGACAATTTTTGAACATGTCAGGGTATTTGTTGACATTTTTTTTTCGTCCAAAATCCCTTTGTAGGGGGACAGATCCGACCTAAAGCTTGCAGAATAGAGCTCACGCTGCACAGATTTCACAGCACAGCTTACCCCACATAGCTTGTGCCTCACAGCCTTCGCCTCCAGTTCCACCGCCCAGGTTTCAAGCCACTGTTCACCCCACATGTCTCGCACCGCATAGCGTTCACCTCCTCAGCTTGCACCACATAGCTTACACGGCATAGCTTCCACCACTTAGCTTGCACCACATAGTTTACACCTCCACTGTGCAATAAAACACTGTTTGGAGTCCACGACAGCAACCGCGTAAACATGCATTTGCATATGTTCATAGATCGATGTGTGTGCGTTTCCGTGTTGCCGATATTCGTCGTCTTCTTTTTTTGTATTGTTCGTATTGTATGGTGTGTTTGGGGTCTGGCCGCCCTACTTCTGCGAAGGTATTGGATTCAGAAATCGTAGTGTTCGTGTCTGGCGTCGCCTTATTAGCCTTTCCAGTCATGACGCTATGACGATGTTTTCATTGCTCGCAGGTGAGTGGACGCCGGACCCGTACGCCGATACGTACGCTGTCAGTCCAGACCTCATCGCGATGCACCACATCCAGCCTGGTTATTACGACGACTAGGGGTGGATGTTGTAAAAGGACAAAAAGCGAACGCGCCGCAATCACACAGTGTGTCCGCTCTGCCACGCTACCACCTCGTCTCACTCACCGCTGGATGCGAGTGTTTGTCGGCGATCGCAGGTGGCTTGGGACCAGCTGTCGGGCCGACAGCTGGCAGACGGGTACGGGCTGGCCCAGAGGGTGTCGTCGAGGACTTGGGGCCTCGGGCCTGGGAATATCTTCCAAGGAGCTCACCAATGTCTGGCAAATTCATACGAACTTGTCTTGGTGATCCAGTCGCCTGTTCTTGGGAGGCCCACAATCCGTGGGAAGTCGCGGACCAGCTGAGACATGTCAGACACACGGGGCGAGCGACCTCCCAGGCATGGGATATTCCATCGCATTGTTTCCTCGAGCTACGCATTGCCCCGAGCATGTTTCCTTCACACGTCCTTGCGCCGCTTTGAGCAGCATCCCTCGCTGAGCTACGCCCACCTGTTCCTTGCACAGTGCCTGTTGGCTTCACGTGCCGGGTTTGGCTTTGCCCCGTCATGGGTCACGCTGCTTCGCAAACAGCTTTCTTGCAGCATGGCGTTGGCGTACCTCTGGCATTCAGTATCGTTTATCCGACCCCCGTCCCCGTCCTCATCCCCTTCGAGACCCCACCAAGTTACCACCCCAGATGGGGATGCACCCCTCGAAACCCGAAGGCTGGGGATGGGGATCGGATAGACTTGTGGAGGACGATCAATGGAGAGGAAGCATGTTGCCACATAATTTCCAGATGTCGAAGCCTATGTTAAACATGTTCTACGCGTGCGAAGCACATGCTCAAAACAGGTTTAGGACATGTTAAAACACATTCAAAATTCAATGGTAGGACTGTTAGGGTGTCCACTGTCGTGGCATCCACACGGGTAGACGATGCTCAGGCGTGGCTTGAGTTTGCTTCAGGCCCGCCGCGCGCT